CGTGATCTGACATCAGGAATTTTGAAACCTGATTGTAATCGATTAAAATCTGATGATTTTAATTGATTACTATCACCTGATTTTACTTAGTAACACAACTCAAAAAAAGGATAAGTGCATAATGATAGAAGTTTAGGGTTAGGCCATTAGTAGAAGTGACTATAGAAATAGAATAGCACTTATTATATGCAAAATTTCATTCTTGTCATTTTTTAATTAGATTATCGATTATGATATAATTAATCAATTATAATAGATTTTGATTTATGATAAATCATATCACTGATAGTTTAGTCAATCGATCATAATCGATTAAATAATTGCAACCGATTATAATTAGGTTTCAAATTTTCTTGATGTATTTATTTGGATAATCGCATTTCTTAGTTATAAAAAAAAAAAAAGAAGGCTTGACCCTTTAAAAGATTTATTGTATAAATTCAGTTGGTATTTTTATTTCATATACAACATACTGGTCAAATACAAGTGCAATATCATTCATGTAGACTTACCAGTTTGAAATATTTAGCATTTATTTGGTAATTGTTTTCCTTAAAGTTTACAAAAACAAAATCCTTAAAAAAATAAGGTTTTTTTGTTACACTGAAAAAAAAAAATTTATTTTGGCTATCAGGATTTTGCATATTATAATTAATACATGCATAATTAATTGTAATAAGTTTTTAGCAAACCTGCTAAATATTTGTATTAGAAAATCTTCTATCAGATTCTCAAGCATTCTTAAAGATATGGATATATAAACAATTTGGAGGATATATCAATTCTGCTAAAGTTAATAACTTATCAAATCTGCCAAATAATTATTCAGCTAATTTCTATCAGGTGTCCCAGCAAATTTTCGAAACCCATTTATATAAACAGACGTGATTGCACAATAATTAAGTAAAATCAAATGTTTTTTGCTTAGTAATAATACCTTTCATTAATATTTGAATCCAGCTTTTAAAAAATATCATGCAAGAGATATTATGGTATTCAGTTCACATGTCTCAATAACGTAAATTGTTATTGTGTATTATACTTCTAATTACTGTAGTTATTATATATAACAAAAATAATTGTTGTCCAAATTTATATATTCAAAAGTAAACATTATAATTGTGTAGTACAAAACAAGTATCTAAGCCTTGGCAATGTAAAAAGTTTACATTAGCATTAATATTAATAATAAAAAAAATTTTTTGTTAGAATTTTTTTATAAATTCATTTAATATTGTCTTATTAAAAAATTAATATTTTCTAAAATGACTAAAAGAAAACAAAATAATAACTCAACTTCAAGTGATACAGAAACAGACTCCAGAAATTTAAGCAATCCAAAATCAGGGTGTCCACTAACAGGAGTTTGGAAATGTTTTGAAAGAGGTGCACCCAAAGGCGATAGTCATTAGGAAGGAATCTGTATGTACTGTAAAAAATTTTATTCGCGTGCCAAGCCAACTACTTTGCGAGCACATTTTGCTAATAGCTATAAAAATATTTTTGAGGAATGGAAATACCATTTTAATTATATTTTAGTCAACAATTTGGAAGATATTCCAACTGATGAACCTCTTTATGGCATGCCAAATACTACTTCATTTTTAGTTAAACAAAAAAAAAGCAAAATTAACTAATTGGTTTGATTCTGTCAGAATCAAGCCATCTAAACAATCAATAATTGATGAAGCTATTGCATTAGCCTTTATTATATGTGGTATTCCTTTTTGTGTAATTAATAATCCTTTTTTTTGTAAATACTCTAAAACTTCTTAATCCCGGTTATGAAGTTTCATTATGTGAAATTCTTTCTGGATGTCTATTAGATATTGAAGTTGCAAAAGTTATTAATAAAATTAATAAAATTTTAAACCATACTACTAATCTTACTATTGGTCTTGATAGTCGGACTGCTCCTAATGGATTATCAATTTAGAATTTTGTTATCATGACACCATTATGGCAAGAATTTCTTTATGAACTTGGAAATTACTTAGAACAATCATATACAGCAGAACTTCTAGCCAGTAAAATTGAATCAATTATTGATCATATTGGTAATAATAAAATTTCAGCAATTATTAGTGATAACAGAGCCAATGTAGCATCTGCATGATGTATAATTTGTTCAAAATATAAACACATTATGAATATCTGATGTATTGCTCATTGCTTTAATCTAATTAGTAAAGATTTTACTTGGTATACATTTTCAGAAAGGATGATTCAGTATGCTAATAAAATAACAAGTTTTTTTAAAAGATCTTATAAAGCTGCAGCAATTTTAAAACAAAAAATTTTGGTACACCAAATTAGTAAAGATGGTCTTAAAACCTATATTGAAACAAGATAGACAACAGTACATGAATGCATTTCATCAATTGTACGACTCAAGGTTTGTTTAGAGAGAATATTCAGGAAAATTATTCTGAAATTCTTAATCCTGTTATTTTGATGATTCTCTGTAGTCGAGGCTTTTTTAGTGATATGCAATATCTTTCAGAGATTTTACTTCCAATTAAGGATGCTATTTTGTCAGTTGAAGCAAATCATTCTACACTTGCTGACTGTTATATTAATTTGATGAGAATTGCTGCAGCAATACAAAATCTTCCTACTGATGAATATAGAGGATTTCGCAATTATTGTATTAGAAAGTTTGATCAACGGTTTGAAGAATTTAATGATCCTGCTTATCAACTTACATATTTTCTTCACCTAGTATACAAAGGTATTGGATTAAAATTTAGTATATTTCCTTTAATTGCAAGTTATGCTGGAAAGTTATGGCAACAAATGGGCAAATCTCAAGAAAGTTGTGAAGCTTTAATTACACAACTGCATTTTTATAAAGAGCAAGAACAAAATATAAATAGAAATCCAAATCCTTATGTTGCCCCTTATACAATTGGTAGTGATACACCATTGATGTAGTGGAATACTTGTAAAGCTAAACCTAACCATTTGCAATGCTTGGCTGTTAAACTTTTTTCTATTATGCCAAGTTCTGCTAATTGCGAAAGAATTTTTTCATCATTAGGATGGATTTATGGAAACTATCGAACATGATTAGATATAGATCAATTAGAAGGGTTGGCAAAAGTTTATCAGTTCAATTTATCAAATCCTATAGATCAACTTTGTCATATTCAAATTATAAAAATAATTTCTATAATAATGTCTGATATTGCAGAAACAGTTTTTAAAGAATTTGAAGAAGAAAGATTAGTGGAAGAAGAAGACATAGAATTGTCTAATCCTACTGAAGATCTTTATTCTAATGAACTAGATTTAAATTTGAATGTTTTAAATTTTATTGATCTTTGTTCTTCAGTTTTTACAAACTCTGAAGATCGTTATGAAAATGAGGTATCAAATAAAATCGAGTCAGATGATGATTTACAAGAAAATGAATATGACGTAGATAAAATTGTTTCTAGACAGTTCAACGATTCATATTAGATATAGGCATTATAAAGTGTTAACATATATTTTTTATGGTTTATATAGTATATTTTAGTGTTAGGGTATGGCAGAATTAGGTCATGTGTTACTGTGTCGGTAGCATCTTTAGTAAAAATATAAGGGATACCAATACTTGTGATGGATAATAATTTTGAACATTTAAATTAAATTTATATATTTCTCCATGGTTTATACGTAGTGTAATTTGGACATTTAAATTGGATTTATATATTTATCCCTTAATATGTAGACCAACGCAGGCAAATTTGCCTGCGTTTTTGTACTTTTTTAGCTCTGATTTACTTTTTTAAAATGCCAAAATATTTAAATAAAACTTTGCACAATTATATTTGAAAATA